TTGCGCAAGGGCACACGAGCCACCAGCGGAACATTCAACATCTCCACGGACGGATCGAAAATTACTGATGTAGTGGCCGCCGGGATCTATTGCGCGGAGCTAGATCTCCAGCGACTCTTCAAGTTGCTGGAATACTGCAGTATCTTCCAGGCAGAAGTCCTTGTAGTCTGGACACCTGCTGTGAGATAGCTAATAACGTAGGAAACAACAGAAAGAATAGCAATATATAGAACGTCGATAGCCAAGCGGCAATAAAGCAATAATCTCACATCACATTGCGTCAGAGAATGTCCTTAGAAGGTATACTGGGTTCCAGACCACAAGGGCGTTCTGGGAAACGAGATAGCTGACAAGATAGCCAAAAGTGCCATTCGAAAACATTCAACGATGACACATGTAGAAAGTGCAGGAAAGTAGTTATGAGAGAGACGTTGTAGCGCCTCTTCCGGCTTTATCTAGAACCCGGCCTACTCTATCTAATCTAGAAGCTTCGCAGTTCAAGGGAGTGGATGAAGTATCAGTATCAGATATTAAGTCTCTATTAAACTTCGCAAAAAGCGTGGACTTCCTGCATGATGTGAACTTTAGCTCGTATTATTAATGGACTTTCATCTGGCATTACAAAGGATCTGTAGGTATAAGTATGGCGTGACAGGCTGTTATTGTAACCTAACCTATTACTTGCAGAGCTCAACCATAGCGAGCAGAAAAGTGGCGTATCGAAGGTGATACTATTAATATCGTTAAGCAGGAAACTGTCTTAATAAAAAACTACTTCATTTCGGTAGAAATTTCACTTAGTTAAATATTTCTTAACTGCAAATACTTTGTAATTACTTACTGTCTGTATGTACAATATTTTGGAAATTATTTCCACAGCAATGATTAGTTATGTCCAAGATGGCGCAGCAACAACTCAAGTGGTGACAATTACTCCACCAAAATTACATACTTGAATATGTACTGCGTTGACAAGCTATAGCTACCAATTTTTCGAAAGCTTCACACGCAAACCCACACACATACAAACTAACATATTTACACATATTTAATACACGGTTGCGCTTGGGTGAATGTGTTAGTAGCCTAGCGCTTGTCATGTATGTATGTGGTAGCAGTGGTTCAACGGTAAACACTCCATGGTCGGCTGTCGATTTGTGTCCAATTGTGGCTTTTGTCGACTATTCGGCTGCTTTCTTCGAGCGTTTGTCCGCGTGTAAATGGCATTTTTGCATTCTTAAGATATTTTTTGGTTTTCTGTTAAGGCACTATAATTAAATTCGACTTGATAGGCCCCTCATTGAAAGTTTTAATTTAACGCTTGTCAAATTGTCCACTTGAATAATCCATTCGCGCTGCGAACGGCAACCAAGTGCATGGCTTGTCCAATTACATGTCATAATGCTGTAACGTGGTGAGTAAGTAAACGCTCTGAGAGTGTGTGTGTCGATTGTTTTCATTCAAATATTCAAATTATAAATTTTGAGCGCCATTTAAGCAGGCAGGCGGACAGTAAGTCTGGCTTGGCAGCAAAAGATTGACTGATGGACTTTCAAATTTTCTTTTAGCGCTACTCATATATTGTTGTTATTGTTGTTTAACGATTCTTTAAGTGCAGTAGTTGTTACAAAAGATTTAGAAGACTGCCAGACGAAATATTGCAATAAAAACAAACTCGCTTTACAGCCGCCGAACAACGAGCAAATCAATGGGTTTGCTGCGAAGAAGTTTAGAAGTTCACACGTGAGTTGTATGTGTGTATGTACACTTATGTATGAGTTGGGTGATAAGTCCGTAGATTTTAGAAATTTCAAACAGAAACGCAGAAATGCTGCCGAAGCCGAGTACGCTCCCCTGCACGGTGGGTTACAACCTGCAATATATGTCGCTCATACAAATCCCGACTAAGTGACTACCCATAATTATAGAAACATCCTTTAGGACACATTGTGGGCCTGTGAGAGCATTTCTGCATGAACAGAGTTCTCATCTATCTCAATCCGTCTCATCATTCTCAATCCAAAAGTTGTTTCAAGGTGACTTAAAACTTGTTATATTTTGAATATAATATCATGGGCCGTACACAGGGTGGGTCATACATCTATTTAACCTAGGATATTTCGGAAATGTAGAGCATATAAGTGCGTGTGTTCGTGAAGAACTTGGGTTATCTTCTTAAAAACAGTTAAGAGTTTTCTTTTTAACGTTGATAGCAAAGATACCAATTTTAACACTAGAACTACGAACCGGTCAAAATGACCGGTAGTACCATTTATTTATACCATTTCCTCTTTATTCCTATTTAATATTTTATGATAATGTCATGATTTTTATTAAATTTGTGTATAGAATATTATTGTAGTTTTTTTTGTTCTTACGCTTCTAATTTTCAGAGAGAGAGAGAGAGACCTATTTGATTTAGGTATAAGGTAAATATTCGTAGTTCTAGTGTTAAGCTTGATTGAAGGTATATGAGAAAGTTTAGAGATATAATATAATATGTCCCCGCAGAGTTCATGAAGATAGTTAAGAAAAAATGAACTTAAAACCTTTTCTGGCTTGCAGACTAAGGTAAGTCTATACTACGTATAAACTCTTAAGGACAGATCTTTAAGATAGAGACGAGTGTAAAAACGCAGTGATTCGAGAGAGATATATTGTTGTCAAGATACATGTTGAAGAAAAAATGTATATAACCGCCGAGTTATTGTAAGGATTTTGGGGATCGTGCATGACTACTATGCTGTAATACGTTGCCTGCTCTAGCATGTGTTGCAGATTTAGTTTGCAACTCCCTTTATTATGCATAAATCTTAAAACCTAAAGGAATCAAGCATTAATAGTTTTTAGTCTAACGAAAAGACCGTCTTTAAAATAAGAATGAGTTGGTTGAATTTTGAGGAAGTTTATTGTTTGAAGGTTATAAAAATATGAGTATCAAAATACTGCATGAAACATAACATGTTAAAACATAACCGTAAAACTAAATAAGACTATATATTCTCGACAAACCATTTTCATTTCACCAAATTTTTATCTTATCACACTGTGCTTTTAACTTTATACGAATGTATCGATGTATTTTGAATAACACGTGTAACTAAATAATTACTATCCTGCAGCAGAGTGTAACACTAACATACACTTGTCTATTATTCATCTCTATTCAACTTTTGTTGATTGAAAAGCCTCAGCAATCAAGAAATGTCAAAATTCCATAGTAAAATTTTCGAAATTTGCTGCTGCTACAGAAGAACAGAAATTAATGATACCGCCATGACCAGCATTATGGTAGCTGTTATAATGTGATTTTTATTGTGTATTTTCAATTAACTGCTGAACCCGCCTTTTATTGGTGTCGAAAAGCTTACCTTTCATCGAATGCCCATTTTCTGTGGTTAAACGCCATGTGTTATTGTTTTTGTTGTATTTCAACCTATTCTTTTGTGTATGCCTTTAAAGGTTGCTGAAACTAATCTTTAACATGTAAACAAGTATTCTCCACAATTATGAAAATCAAAAGTCATCGTGGGTTTATTTCATGCTTCATAGATCGTGAAATACTCTTTTTTATCTTCGAGATGACCATCTACTCAAACCTTGGTTTAAAGTATTAGCGAGAGGCGAATATAGTTGAAGATAACCTTACTAAACTGATTGAGCAAGTGGCATTTCTATGAAGGTGTAGATTATCTCTTCTCACATTTCTGCTCAGATTTGACACTTAGTGAAGAACTCGTTGATCTTATTGATCTCACAAGGATTACTTTACAGCACCAAATTCTATAGAGGATAGCTTAAAGCTCTGTTATAAGTTCACTTTTTAACTACTACAACTTCTACTAGCTGCTCAATAGCTTCGAATTTTCTTTTGCCTTTACTGCAAACTTAACCATTAGTTGATGGTTCGAACATTGTTATAAGTAGCTAATGGAATTCGATTAGTGGTCCAGGCGGCTTCTCTGAAGATCTCAACACTTCTGTCTGTCTTTATTTCACACGACAGTTGGGTCTAGGGACGGACCCGGATTTTTATTCGGTTAAGCACTGTCAACTCGGCAGCAATATTCTAAATTATTTGGGGAATGTCTTTTTGCCTTACAAAGATAATATCACTATATTAGAGAAATGATAAAGGAATTTCAGCGCATAACCTCCATTAACCATTTTTGAACTTTTTCCACATGAGAGAAAGAAGAAAATATGGTTGATAGAAATCAACGAAGTTAAAACTAACTACTTCTTTATAATGTTAAAATTCTTATTGTAACGAAGAGCTTGGACTAGAGCTATGGTATGACTACGGGAAACAAATCTAGGCAGTTTTCTTGTATGTCTACATATGTGGAATTTTGCGGGTGTGATCGTCCAGCCGCGATCGCGAACTATAATGGACGAACAACCACCTCAAAAAGATAAAAGCCAAAGGTGGGTGCAAATCGAAATTGCAGACTAATCACATATACATATGTAGCTATTACGAAGTCTTTGTAAAAACAAAAAAAATAACCACAGACAATAAAATTTGGCTTCTGTAGTTCCAATAAGAGAGATTACTTCATATTTCGCTATACATTGAATTTAAAAATGTATTCACCAAATTACTGCTGAACTCGTAAATTCGTCTATGAAAGTTACATAGGATTAAAAGCGATAAATTCAAATCAATAGGAAGTCAAAAGGAAAGAGAGATAGATAGAGGAAGGTAAAGAGAACGAAAAAGAGTGCTAGAGAGGTATGGAAAGATATAGGTAGAGAGAGATAGAGTGCTGTCGAGTTGCATTATCTTGGCTGGCCTCTATCAGGTTACGACGCTAAACGAAGTACATATGGTTTTCTCTAGCTTTGCAGCTAAAGTGCTACTGCAAAATAATTTTTTTGGTATTATGATATCAGTCAAAGCCACACTATGGCTTTGGTGTGATACACTAAGTTTTTAAAAACTCGTATTATATCGTACTTACCGTTTTATATTTTTCATTCATTAGATAAACAAGAGATTAAGTGAATTTAATTTTCAAAATTAATTTTAATTATATTGCAGAGTTAAGTTACTTTCATTTTAATTTACAGTTAATTGCACTAAGTTACTTAAATTTGATTAGAGAGAATAAAATTAGTATATAATATGTACATATTGAAAGCGCTTGGAGTTACAGTTTGCTATATAGATACATATTTATAAATCTCTCTTATAATAAACCGTTAAAGACTAATCACTTCGCTTTACTATTACACATATTACACACAGCTTTATTCCGTTAGAAAAGCATTAATCAGACTTGGGAATCCTGCGTCGTATTGGGCTCAGCTATCACGCTCAGATCTGCTTATTCTTCAGCAATTGTCGCATTCTCATTGCACTGCCCACTGCTCTCCGCATCTTGGACCACATTTATCTCCTCCTCCGATAGCTTTGAATGTGTCGTGTTCGTCGGTGAGGGTGTGACAGAGTGTGAAAGTGGTGAGTCAGCTCCGCCGTCTTCGCCAACGCCCGACAACAGTTTCGACTGTTGTGCGGCGGAGACAACTTGGCGGGTGAAGTTCAGCGCCAGCATTGCCTCGGACAATACAGGATTCACCACCATTGAGCGGAAGGCGCTATGCTCACCGCCCATTAATAATGGAACTGATGCTGTGTGCGATGGAAAGACCAACGCCGGTGGTGGTGGCGGGGTGCCTTGTGGCAGTTGCGGAAGTGACGCTTTTGATTTCGTTGGGTCGTTGCTGTGGTGTAACGCTTCGTGTTGTTGTTGGTGTTGGTGTTGCTGCAGATTCATGGTATTCATGTTCGTGTGGAATTGTTGTCCGTCCTGATTTGCTGTAGGGATGAAAGCGTTCGGCAGTTTGTGTGTATAGTCCAGCGTATGGCTTGTTATACCCATTGGCAACCCGTAGTAGCTGTTTGTTGCATTCGTTTTGCTGTTGTTGTTGTAATTGTCCACATCCAATAAATGGTGTGGTCGTTGTGGGTTGACTGGTGAATGGTTGCGTTTCATTGCGCCGTGTGTCTGCGGTGAGTGGGAACCCCGCTGCTTCAGCTGGCTGACCCGCTGATGTCGGCGCCATTTCGCTCGTCTGTTGGAAAACCAAACCTAATGTTGATCAATACGAAGAATACAATTTGTTAGTTGGTAAAATGGTTGTAGGAGTAATTAAACACGGTTCGACAGGTGATTATGTAGGAAGAGGAGTTTAGAGGAAGCTTTGTTGAAAGTAAGATGACATGTAGATATTCTTAGTTAACTATGTGTGTGTAAATAACATATAACCTAGCTCTATTACTTTGGTTTGTGAGCTAAGATTCTGAATAATTGAAGAAGACAGATTCTGAAAGTGAACTTATGTAGCTTTTTTTTACCAGTCTTACCTTTGGGAATCTACGTAACTCTAATAAGGCCTATCGGTCAGACAAAAACCTTCGAAGCTCCTCGTAGACTTTAAAGCATTTTCAATGTACAATAGTTGATAAAACCGGCTATTTTGAACGAACTTACGAACGGTGAAGACCAAAGAAATTTTTAGAAAGTATTATTACAAACCGAGGTGTATTGTGTTCATAAAGGATGATCTGCATTTCTACTTTTCACTCAGACTCGAAATCTAATATATATACATTTTCCCCAAATTCGGAAAACTAAATTTAAAACTAACTAGGCTGAGAACCGACTTTCTAAGCACTTGCTTCAGTTGGTCGTCTATTAACTCAAACTAAAATTTTTGGAGTTCGGATTAAAGAAGATAAATAAACGATGTCGCTAATCTCGGGGACAGAATAATGGAAAATCTCTCAGGTTCTTATTCGCAGAAAAAGATAATATGTAAGCACATGAGCTCAAATAGAATAAGCGGCATACTAAAGAATCTGGCTCAAATCTTAGGAGAAAAAAACAAAAACTGACCAGATTAGGTCGCACAGATATGTATTAAAATCTAAAGCAACAATTATAGAACATTGATCAATTGATACTCCCCAAGGTGTTTCCATGTAATAGCTGTCGAGCTTGAAACCAAGCGGTATCACTAACTCTGTAGATACCAGCTGATATACCCATATTAAGTAAATTGAAGAAAATCCAGATATATGAAGCCAAGACACAAGACGATTGAATCTTTCCACTGCAGATATAGGTCAGATCTAAGTAACCGGAACAGTTTTTTATTACACAATGACCGTCAAATCGGAAGCTTTCTTTCAAATTATTTGAGGATTGGTTTCTGCCGCTACAATTTCAAAGGCTTGAAGGAGCTATGTAGTTATGTTTTCCGAGTCAAGTCTTAATTTCCATACTTGATTTGATAAATTTCTGCTATGATATGCTAAGATTAGTCACAGACAGAACATTAACAGAAGTGTTACGTGCTTATACTTTTTCATACAAACTTTTTTGACAAGATAAAGTATTGCTTATTTGATTTATAATCGTATTATGTAATTGCACCTACCTGAACTCTCGCTTCACTCAGTGCAGTGCGCGCTGCTAATTTCTCTCTCGTGCTTACACAGGGGTAATGTGACTTCTCAAACTCCTTCTCCAGCTCATCTAATTGCTCGGAGCTGAATGTGGTACGATTACGACGGAATTTAGGCTGATCGCTGTCATCTGTATCGGAGTCTTCGCCTTCAATGTCTGTAAATACCATATCAGTTTTAGTATGAGTAAAAAAGACTAGCTTGAAATCAACTAAACGCTTACCAATCATACGACTCGCATCTGGTGAACCCAAAGTCTCGTGACTACCCGAACCGGGTGATATTGGTGGTATGGAAACATTTGAATTTGTCGGCGTCAGACTACCAGGTGGCAAACTATTTGGGAAACCGCCACCAACACCAGCAGCACCAGTCATTGTTGCGCCAGACGCCCATAGATGAGGCGGTGGTGGTGGTAAGGTTGACGGCCAAGTCGGGAAGCCAGGATGTGTGGGATGCATATAAACATAACTGGTAGCGCGTGCGAATTCAGCCGCTGCACGTTCCGCCGCGCGATTACGTAATATGCGATTGATGGAGGATACGGAGGGTGCCGTAGCGTTCGTGCAAACACCTGAAAGGGTTTATGTTTGGAAATTAAATTAATGTTGTGTGTAATGTAGTGTCTAAATGATCCGTTACAGTCTGCAGTCTCTCAAGCAAGTTAGTTAGTAGTAGAAATCGGCGAATGAAATCAATCAGGATCGGTATCAAAAGTATATAAATAAGTTTAATAGAGATCATCAGATGCCTCTTTTAGTAGTTAATAATAGAAGGGTGTCCATATAGATTTTAGACGCCCTGTCGAGCCGTAACTGTTGAGGTATAATGTCTTATGCACAGTTTTTTTTATTAAAATTCTCTATTAGTTAAGAAAAATGGAGAGATTTATTAGATTTAGAGTATTTAATTAGTCTTCAAGTCGGTTTGTCACATTAATTATATAGCAGCTCTGTCTAAAGCACCATATCGTAGGTAACAGACTTTATTTGTGTTGCGGGATTTCGAATCAAAAGTAGTAAGCCAAGACTTACAAAAGCGCTTACATGGCTCTTCACCATATATGTATAATTAGTATAAAAGGTTTCTAGGCTGATAGTGTTATTACTTTATGTTCCCATCTTATGAACCGTCAGCTGCAAATATGTTCGAAATTCCTCTCAAAGTCCAAATTCAGTTCGAAACGGCGAGTAAGTAAAAGGCTTGGGGAGTATTTTGGTATTTCGACGGCACTATTGATTTTCTTTCTTCATGTCTATTTTATTTGGTTATGGAAACCAGATTAGGCGGTTATAATCCGGAAGGTGCGGTAGTGTCGAAAAAGAGGTAATCGGTTTTGCATCGTTCATCTCTGATATTTCTCAAAAGTTCGTTCACAGCCTAGTCTTGCCTGATGACAGATGCTTTGAGAAGTTTTAATCAAACCAAGATGTTAAGCTCGGGAATATGATAAGGAATTCAATGATATCCGCTCGGAGAACTTTTTTTTGTGTTTTTAAGTTGACTTATTCTACTAAAGTCAGAAATATTTGTGCGACCACATTTTCGAGATCTCAGATCAACGAGAATGGGGTTTGATCCTTCTTTGTCAGGAAAATTTATGAAATTTTAGAAAGGTACTAAATTTTTGAAAAGAGTAATGAAATTGAAGATAGAACCCAGATCCGCTATACAATTTACTCAGAATAACCTCCACATGTGATATTAGAAATGCAGTTAAATTCCAGTTCCATTAGTTCGACCAAGGAGAGCGGATATCAGCATTATATAGGCTGATAACTCGTCAATACTACTGCAATCCTTATGCAGGCGCTACGGGGTTTCTGTTCATTTCTGCAAAAGAGATGAAAAGCGGGGTAGTGTTGTAGAGAAACAAATACTTTGGAGCCTTAAAACCGTAACAGTTCAAGAAAAAAAGAAAAAAGAATAGATTTATTTACAGGAAGCCAGAATAGTGGTAGCTGTTGTTGTTAAGTTTAATTGCAATCGACGTTTTGCATGTGTTCTGCCATATCTACAATCCCCAATTGCCTTCTTAATTACAAACAATGAAAAAAAGAAGAAGAAATGCAGCGCACAAAAAGAAATGGGATATGTGGAGGCTGTGCGAAGCAACTACGAAGCTGTTTAGTGTGATCGGAGCGCAGAGTACACGACGAGACAGCAATTTGATGTGAACGATCGATATCAAAACCAATTTGAATGCGGTGACTGACTAAATGTCAAGTACGAAGACCTGAGCGCGTACGCATGCGCAGATGAACTACCTAAGTGTGCGCAGTGGACTTGAATGAATGGAGCGAGGACGCAGCTATGCTTTCGCGATGATCAGGAGCTGTGCTGCTATTGTTGTTGTGGCACGTTGACCAAGCGACTGCGCTGTGACAGCTGCGCAGAAAAAGGTGAACCCGAAAATCCAGCAGCACAGTGACGAACACGCTGAGCGCCGTTCAGCCGCATTTACATATCAATCTTTCCGCATGCGAACGCGTGTCTTCTTCACTTCCGCGCACAACATTTAGAAGAATGTTAAGCAGTGTTGTATACGCGTACGCGTCTGATTACGGCGCTATGGCGTCCGGATGCTAATAAATTAGACTATCGATAAATCTTGCGAGTGCAACAATACATTACATTTTGTGTGTGTGCCAAAGTCAGTTAATGCGAGGAAAATGCGAAGGAAGGCATTTATTTGGTCGCAACGGTCGCGCAGACCATAAATACATCAGAAGGCATGACCGACCACCGGCGCACCATTGGCAGCGGAGGTACAAGAAGAACGTACTTACGCCGACCAGTGCGTAACTCTCTGTCAAAGCGTATGTGTTACAGCCCGTTCGTCTGCGCGGTTGCGTTCGTGTGTGTGCTTTTCGTCAGCAATCGCGATTCATTCGCAATTTGTTTGGCCAATCATTTTGGTCGCAACTCTTCTTCTGGGGGGTTGACGGCGTCACTTAATGAGGTAAACCATCAAGCGGCCGCTACGTAAGCCAAGCCAAACCACGTCGCGTCAGTCAAGCCGTTTGCATGGTCAATGGTGCAAGTGCGCGAGGTAGGCAGCTCAGCGGCTAGGCGGGCAGGCAGTCATTCAGTCACTGGCTTCCAGTGAGCACCCACAGACGAGATTTGTGTCTTGTAAGTCTGTTGTTGTAGTTTGTACATGTGTTCGCTTGTGTTGTGCTCACCTTCCGATATCAGTCGTTCGCGTATTTCCCACGCAAATATTGTCGGATTATCGCGTTTGTATTGCTCGATTTTCGAGACGACAGCGGGCGTAGCAACTTTCGGCTTTGATCCGCCGATTAAACCAGGTGGCCTCAATGTACCTGCAATTAAAGAAATTAAACAGATATGAACATGAATAATCACACACGATAACTGATCGATGGCTGGAAGGGTAGAGACAGTGAATTTGGCTTTTATAAAAACATTACGCACAGTGTTGATAAAATCAATAAAATTCGGTTCGATTTAGTTCAAAGTGCTCATTCGTAAAATTTTCGGCAGAAATAAATACTAATTTAAGTTACGTAGATAGGTATCGAAGTTTTGTTTTATATGTGGTAATTATTTGAGACATATTGAGCAAAAGTTTTTATGCTAAAATCTACATTCTTGTACCCTGAAACTTATGACTCTTAGTATTCGGTTAGCCAATCCAGATTATCAATCTGCAAATTAACGGTATTATCACATATGAAAATTTCAAAAAGTTGTTGATGACCAATCTGAAAGGTGTTGTGAGTTTCGCGGATAACCGCTTTGTAGAAAGCTTTAGACATGAAAAAGTTATCCGGTAAATGGTTAAAGATTGTGCAACCATAGTTCGAATCAAAATTTTAATTCAGATACCAAAAATATGCCCTAAACGGATGTACGAAAATTATTCCTAGGTAATAGGTCGGCTAGATCACTCGAGAAGTGCTATTGTACCTTCCCAATTTTGCGGCTTATCCCAACAAATATAATATCTTGATGTGAACTAAAATACGGATTTACAGAAACATACACGCAGACTGAATTTGAAAATGGTGCAAAGACTTTCAACTCGTAAAAACCTTATCATGAGCTGTTCTAGTAGAACAACTAAACATTCTTTAGAGCAAATTCTACACTACACATCCGGCGTTTTACTTCATTTGTTTGATTGCTTAGAACTTGGTAATGACATAAATCACTAGCCTATATATGGGTTTGTTGGAGAACTTCATCCACCAGAAGCCTCCCTTACCAGGTAAGAATAGATGGGTATACACATATGGAATGAGGTAAATAACCCATCCTGCAATGGACTTCAATAGTTCGATTGTAGAGTTGACTTTTTTGGGAAAGCTATACGTAGGTGATTCGATTGGATTAGGCATCTCTTTTTTAAATATATACGGTAGAATCCTTAACAGTTCTTTCTTTCAGTCTTCTCTGTGCAAATCAACAGCAGCTCAACGGTAGTGAAAACGTTAATAAAAAGATCTTAATCTCGATTTCGATCGATGAGTTTGTATGATAGATTTATGCTGTGATTGTCCGAACTGAACAATTTCTTCCGAGGTTGTAGCGATTACTTTGATAATAATCTATGCCTAATTTCGTGATGATACCTCGACAAAAAAGAAAGTTTTTTATACAAGGACTTGAGTTGGATCGGTCGTTTGTATGGCAGCTATATTCTATAGTTATCTGATATCAGTTCCTACAAATGAGCAGCTTCTTGGTGAGAAAATAACGTGTGCAAACTTTCAGGTCGATATCCCAACAACTGAAGGACTAGTTCGCGTATATACGGGCGGATAGGCAGACGGATATGGCTAGATTGACTCGGCTCAGCACGCTAAGTATATATAGGTAGTATATACTTTAAATGGTCTCCGACGTTTCCTTTTGGGTGTTACAAACATCGCGGTAAACTTAATATACCCTGTTTAGTGTATAATACGGAGGAAAAGGGGTTGCTGTCTCGATAGTCGGGCTCCGGTTATGTGAAACGGACTCAGATTTATATCTGAGCAAGAACTGTCAATTCGGCAGCATTTCTCAAAATTATTTGGGAACAGTTTTTGGCGCTACAACAAAAATATCTTTTATCTTTATAACAAAAACAACAGAAAAGAAGCGGGTGATTGTATTGATATTTGAGACCTTCACCACTTTTCTTTATTGCCCACCGCTTTGTGGTGACCTTTCCGAGCATTTGGGGCGCTAATTGTTGTTTTTATAATGCAAATCGCTTGCGGCCCACCAGAACAATAAATAAGTGAATGCTAATTTGCACACATATTTTAAACGTTTTTGTTGTTTTAACATATATGCAATGCTATCAGTGACAATCCAATTACCTATGAACCAATACACAATGGTTGGTGTGTTACATACAGCTTGTACATACATATGTACGTGTATTTATTTTGAAGTGTTTGCGCTTTTTCTGCTTCTCGCGCTTTCGGCTTGCCCGGTAATTTGCGCAAACAACGCGCTGCTAACCAATTTGGTCGCACATTGCAACAACTCAATAACACATTTGCATCGGTATTAGCAATTTATTTACGTATGCTGACTCGCCGCCAAAGCAACAATGAGATAAAGCGCCACAGGCACACACAGGTGAACGCCGCTACGCGTAAATAAAAGCTAACTGTGTAAATATAAAAAAAGAAACAACAACAACAAGAAACGATACTTTGAAATAGTAATAAAGTCATAAAACTATGTAAAGCTATGTCATTGGATCACAAGCTCCACAAAACGGCCGGCGCAGCGTTCTAGTGAGCTCATGTGCACCCTTTTAAATATGTACATATATTTGCTTGAACGAGGTCGTTTCGATAAGTACTTAGAGTCAGCGACTGATAGTGCTACTATTGAAAGATAAATTTATTATCGCCGAACCGACCACTTTTCAACAGTTTTGGATGCTGTTTAAGCGCGACTCGAAGGAGTTTCTGCGTGCGACGACGAAACAGGAAATCAACGAATAATCTTAATAGTGGACTTTACCCGGCGAACCCGCTCCAAAGAAACTGAAGACTATTCTATCGGCCGAAAAAGGAAAGTATCACTATTTTTCTGGATTCACAAGGTGTGATTTGTTACTACTACTATATTGAATTTTTAGGTCGATTTAATGGTGAATTGTAAGGAAAGGGGTCAAATTTTACGAAGAAAAAGTGAAAGTTCACATTAACAACGCAACGACTTATACCACCGCCAACACACACACGGCTAAGTTGGTCGAATTAGGCTACAAACTACTGTCCCATTCACCGTATTCTTCAGATTTGACGCTGTGAACTTATTTATGTCTTCAAAACGGAAAAAAGTCACTCGCCGGACAGGAATTTGTGTCGAATGATTAGGTTATTGCTACTTTGTAGACTTCCAGAAGATGTATTTTTTAGACGGGCTAAAGAAGTTGGATTAGTAGCGAAAACGAAAACAATCCCATTTTTCCAAAATTTTAAATTTTGTTTCTTACGATAAGTACTACTTGGACCGAGCTCGTATATTTGCATGTATGACACTTGCGAGCTTTGTTTACCTGCTTATGCGACCTCCCTCCGTTCATCCGGCCAACCGTTAATCTCCCCGCTCCTCTGCACCAGCGCCATGCCATCCGCTAAGTAAATGATAACTCATCGGAAGCTGTTGACAGCCGATTATTTGTACTTCAAATTAGTTACGAGAACATAAAACAACAATAACTACACCAACAATAACTACAAAACGTTTGTTAAAAGTGCAAACATTGTCATTGCAACAGTCGCAACTGATGCCGCCGCGTAATTGCAATATGCTAATGCTAACAAAAACAATAAAAACAACAATGGAAGAGATCACTTGGCAGCAACAGACAAATCGCCGCCGCCGGAAGTTCTGTTTCGCACTAAATATAAGTATTTGTGCGATTATCGAGACAATAAGCGCACCGCAGCGCCTACACACATATATGTAAACATACATACAAATATACAATACACTCACACAGATAAGTGCCGCATATCTGCTTATGACTTTAATCAGCAAAACATCTGGTGAAAAAATAATTACGTGAATGACTACGGGCTTTCTCATTCATTCGCCCCCCACACACGCACACACTCACAGACATTTATTCATCAAGCCGCCGCAGCCGCGCGTTCACTCGTGCAATCGCCGCGCGAGCGAATTACACTTACGAGTATTTGTGGCGATTGTTTGTTGTTGTTGTTGTGTGGTAGATAGGTAGCAGCTGGTAATTAAAGTCAACAATTAGAAATCAGATTAAACGATTAAAATTATGTGAAATATATGCCATTGCGAATTCACGCTGATAAAATGGAATTGGAAATGCTTCATTGTGGAAATATTCACTGGCTGATTGTGTATAATTTGCAAGCACAAACCTTTTTTTTGCTTTAAGAAAACACAAATTGCATAGATATTATGTTCGGTTTTGAAATTTTTGCAGTCAATTAAAGCGAGTGAAGGTATAATTGTTTGTAGGGGTAAAGTTTTCTGTACTGAAAAAAAAGCGTGAACATAACCTCAATCTATAAAGAGATTTCTAAAATGGAAAGTAGTGTGTACGCGGGTGAGTGCTGAGCAACTCTTTCCGTCTTTTTACTACTATCTTTCTCTGGCAGCATCTTTTAAGAAGAACTGCTAAGCAACGAGTGCGTCCCGAAAGCTGTCCCCTACAGGCGGGCTTATATGAGCGAAACGAACTGGGATTTATATTTGAATAAAGTCGGTAAATTCGTTAAAATGGCTTAAGGTAATAGCTATGTTTTCAAAAATGTCCTCAGAAATGCCGGATGATATAACATTGGAGTTAAAGCCATTTAAAAATCACACTGCCCTCCTGGTCACAGAAATACTTGTATATAGGAAAGAAAGCAAGCTGCTGAATTGAGTAAGATAAAAGCATCGCTTGAAGAAACTGCATAGACTTGTTTTCTCGGAACTAAGTATCTAAAGGCAACTATATAAAAGATGTGGCTCTGGTGCGACAAAACAACTTGTTGAATTGACTTACCGAAAAGTCCAGCCGAAGTTTTGGATACATTTTTAGGTTAATCGCAGTTCGGTTATCGCATTTGAATGAAATAATCACTTTATATAGAAAACTAACTGCAATAAAATTGAATTCAGCAGAATAGTCTTTTTCCAGAAAACTTTAGCAATGGAGATGAGCAAAATGTTTAGCATATCGTATGGATAACAATCGATCATCTCGAAGAGCTATCAGATGCGTAAACTCACCAAAACTTTTGATTTATTTACTCTTATTTTCCCTAACGCATTTGGTTTTATCGGACTTTTAGTAGTTTTTAACAAAACCGGTGGGGAGTGG